GAGAGAGAGAGAGAGGACCTTGTAAACTATTTCGTTGCATGTAACATAGAGTTTACGGGAATGGATATCCTTCCTTAAAATGTATCTTTTGAAGGGTAGATATAAGAGCATCAATATTCCCACACCCCAAGCTAGAACAAGAAGTAGAGAGATAAGGACCCAGACAACTGTGTCATATATCACATGGCTTCCCTCAAGTTCCTCAAAAGAGGCCATATAGAGTATCTTCCCAGAAATATCAGCTTCCTCATCTTCCAATTCAGAGGCCAGATCTTCTAATAATACTTGGTTTGATTCATCACATTCCCTCAGTCCAATTGCAGTTGTCAACATCTCTGCAAGCTCAAAAATAAAAACTAACATCTCAAAAGGAAAATAAACCAATATTAAAGAACTAGGCTCGGGCACTGAACTCGACACTTAACTGAGCAGGGTAACTCGGGCAAGTTGAGACTCGCTGAGTCATTACGACCTAAAAAGGGTTAAAAAATCGCAAAATAAAATAAATAATATTTGCTAAAAAACAGTAAAAAGCAAAATAATTTATAAATAGAATTAAAAGTCTAGAAAGGATGGAAAAACTTATATACAAGATGGAATATGAAATTGATTTATAACTTGAAAAACTTATATACAAGATGGAATATGAAATTGATTTATAACTTGAAAAACAGAAAAAAAGAAAAATTCACAAATCATCATAAAAAATTAACAACTATATGGAAACATAAGTACATAGTTAAAAAAGACAGGCCGCCCACCACCTAGGTGCCCAAGGGACCCTAGGGCACACGCCTAGGCCTGGGCAGCCCTCCTTGGACTCCAGTACTTGGGTGCCTGCCCAGGCGTCCCATGCAGGTGCCTATGTAGGTGCATACCACCCAGTGCCTGGGCACATTTTTTGTGTAATAAAAATGGCCCTTAAGGCATTTTGGGTCATTTTGAACCACGAAGTTGTCTTAAAAGAGTATAGGGAGTATTCTAAACCCCTAAAGTGAAAAGAGGGGGGGGAAAAAAAAAACTCTACAAACAGCCCAAATCAATTGCTTTTAAAATGTATTGGACATTTGGGTAATTGATTTTATATTTTTCTTTTGTCTTTCATCTTCACTTTTTTTGTGTATCATGATCGTGTGTCACTATGGACTATGGATTTGGTGAGTGGAGACTAATACACCATGGACCTGTTTATGTTTTTTCAATAAAATTTCAATGATTTAAGGTTTTGAATGTGTTTCAACATTTATGTGTATCAATTTGCATGGAAAAAGTTACTTACCATATATATGTATAGGGTGCAGTTGGCATACGGATGCATCCGTAGCTGTAGAGGCAAGGTGCACCTTCAAATTTTATCATGTTATATAATTTTGATGTAAAATGCTCTTAGGATTACCTCAAATCTATTTTTATATCTAATTATAAAATTTAAAATTTAAAAAACGGTTCAAATCAAGTAGATCTATAAACATATGAAAATCTTGAAAATGACAGTGTAGATAATATGTTGTAAAATGCACTATTTTTTATACTTAAAATCTTTTTATTTTTCATGGTCATACATCTCGATGCCGAGATGATCAATCAAAGGGTTTTTCAACATTAAAACTACCTTTTCCGATGGATTTTCAAGTGCATCCGTAGTTCTACATTATAAGGTTGCATCCTTATATAAACTTTTTGCATTCTACATTATAAGGTTGCATCCTTATATAAACTTTTTGCATAAATATATATAT